GGCAGTACTGAAACACCGTCTAAGCTGTTCGCCAATCACAACGCACTGGGACAGCTAACCAATCACATCACATTTCGTTTTTCGGAAGGCGGGCCTTCATCAAACCCAGAACTAATCGAGCCGTTTGTGCCAGACTGGGGAGAAAGGTATTGTAATAATGTAAATTATGTAAAAAATAATGCGTTTTTCGAACCACCAAGCATGAGAGCATGTTCTAGTACACCCCCAAAACAAATTCAAGACATTGTAACAGAGCATAATAGGACCCCTTTAAAATATCTTTAAAACAGAAAGAATAAAGGCAGTTACTTCCGGTTTCCTCTTTTTTTAAATTTTCGGTCTGTCTCGTTTGCTGTGTATCACTGTTGCTGTGTACAAGACACAAAAGTAGAATTGCATAAATATTACAAAGCATTCTACAAAACAAATATAGCAATCCAAACAAAAGCATTAAGTAACAAAGCATGCTACAAAACAAAAAAGTAGCTCATCAAACAAAAGGTGATTCATATCCCGGACGAGCCCCCAATTTATGTTACGACCCTGTTTAGGGAGCAACATAATAAAGCCGTTCTAAAGGCAACAAATACCACAGTGGCCAGGGCAAAAAGTTTAAGTTTTATTATACAGGTAGAACAAAAGAGAATAAGGAAAACCAAAACCAAAAATCAAACACAAAACAGTTCCCAGTGCAAGCCACCAGCAGCTCTTAAATAAGTAGAGGCCTCAGGTGTTTGTAATAGTCTCTGCCCCCATCCAATTAGCAGCTGCACTCAGGAAAGAAAAAAAAGAGAAAGCGCAAGGGCTCGTAACAATCACAATAATCCGTTGTGTCATCGTGTTCATGATCAGACGAGCCGCAGCTGCTGCTGTATCAACGCATGCCCTTATAGCATCTTTTATTTGTAGAAGACATGATATTTGCGCGTGCTGGTTCATGTCTGGAGCACGGGAGAATATGAAATATGTTCACATAAACTTGAAACATGCTTGCTCCAGTCCGGATAAGAACTATAATCTGCGCAGCGAGTGTTGTTAAACTCATCGTGGCGTTTGCGCAGAAACTGCTCTCTCATGCGCTCCACGTGTTGTTATATTAAATATTGTTACAGTCATGTTTACAGAGATGAACTGACGGCGCGTTAGCTTGAATTTGAATTTAATTTGAATTCTCCGCTGTAAGACGATCTCATGCATAATACAGCGCAGTGATTGGATCTTAAGAGTTCATTCTCATGAATACTGAAAAAAGCTCTAAAACTGATGAAGTAGACGCGTACTCTCGAGCCATGGCAGCCAATCACCACTCCAAATTAATGCATATACGTAGGCTCAACTTTGCTTTTTGAACCGGAAGAAAGAAATTGCTTCAAAAAATGAAAAATATATATATATATTTTACACTTTTACATTAATAATAGACATAATGAGTGCTAAAGTTGTTTTCACTGATGTGCAACCTGTTCATATATGTTAACATCTCAAAAAATGTGTTTTAGGGTTTCATGACACTTTAAAGCAATGCATTTACAACCTTTCAGATAAACGTTGATGGTACTCAGTCTCATTACACAGCTAAAAACATTTATCTAGCATCTGTGTGTTTAGAGAAGGAAAAACTGGTTACAGGAGACACGGAGAGACTGACACAAACCTCAGTGAGAGCAGCTTTAGTCAGACTGAAACATTGACTACAGAGCCACTGGCTCCTGTAATTAAAGATTCAGCAGACGAATCTCTTCTTTACATTAAGCTAAAGAAGCATTTGATAAAGATGGTCATTTAGAAACACAGTCATCCTAGCTCACATTCAGTTTTGTGCCTGACTTTTGAGGATATTGCAGTTGTTGAAAATGCATATGGAAAACGCATCAAATTCTGAAAATATTCTGTATCATAAAAAAGCCGGATTAAGGGCTCTAATGTTTGGAACGGCTGTGCAACAGTGCCTTAAAATACCATCTAGGTAGGCAGCACACTAGGTTTCGGAACAGATTAAGGCTAGAAAGTGAGAGAGAGATCAAAGAAGGGAGAAAAGCACTGAATCTTCATCTTCAGGGGACCAAATTAAAATTGTAAAGCCAGGGAAAAAGTTTAAATATATGCTTCATCAGGGTTATTACTTACTGTAACAAAAGCAAAATAAATATTACATAAATAAAAAGAATAAAAAGCAATAAAATAACACATGCATAAATGTTCAAATAAATAAATGCATGTAGAAATAATTTGTATTAAAATGCATAAATAAATGCATATATAAATGCATGAATAAGTGCATACACATATAAACAAATAAATAAAGACTTTATGCTCCAAGTCAAAAGGCACAGTCTTTGTGAATTGGAGGATGATGAAGCCAATCATCAGTCTATGTTTACTGGAGTGGAATGCACATAATCACAGGCTTTATGTGGTCCACGATTTCACATTGATGTGTGGCACCAATTTAAAATCTACATTTTACATTTTCTGAAGAAAAATCTGAGTGGTGCTTGACCTTTGTTCAGATCGGAAACCACAAGAATGAGTGTTAGTAATAGTCATGCTCGTCTTGCAAAACAACCATTAAAACTGCATATTCACATGCTGCCAAACAGAATTCAGAAATTAATTTCAAAATAACGCTCATTAGACAGAAACAAAACGCGAAATCCTCTGAAAATATGTAATTTGCGCGAGTCAACAATCATGTGAAGTTTACATTAGATAAATCTGTTTAGAATAAATGGAAGTTGACAAATCTGTGCTGAAGTGCAATGAACCACACACACACACACACACACGCATTACTCAGAAAAACAACAAGAAGTGACACCAGCCGCGAGCGCTCAACACATTTGTTCAGGTTAGACAGGCCCATTTGTGAGTAATTTATTCCAGTGGATCTGTTGGCACTGGAAAGCGTCTGGAGGAATCAGCGGCCTCAAACACACTCTGAGACAAGCCGTCCTTCAGTGAGACACGACAAAAAGATCTACAGCTCAACAACTTCTCAAATCTCATTTTTCCACTACTACTGGTGCCAAAAACACTGGCAGAGTTAGAAAGACCAGCAGCTGCTTTCAAAGCACTGCGACAGAGGTCTGAAGAAATGACAAACCCAGAAAAAAAAAAAATTCAGTCAGCTAAACTATTATTTAACCAGCTTACAAAAATAAGTTATATTATATTATATTAATTCACTGTACATGAGAACTCTTCCAAAAATGAGTAATAATTCACAAAAATAATATTCATTATAATTTAAACAATTAACGCTTGTGGAATATTTACCAAATAATCAGATTATTTGGAAATGAATCACATTTTTTATTGGTCTCATTCATTAAATCCTGATTTCTTTCTGTCGTTCCTTACGAGAGTGAGAGAGACTGAAGCGCATGAGACAGCGCAAGGACGCGTGATGAGTGATTTAATTAAATCAGAACAGGAGACACATCCACAGATAATTACTGCTGAATGACGTGCATCTACTTACAATCTACCCGCAGAGCTGCCATATGTCACTGCTTTAACACACACACACAACATTCTCACACACTGCATCATTCATTCATTTGACAAACATTCATGAGGATTTCTTCAAGAAACGTCCCAATACAGAACCTTCTGCAGACAACTGTATCATATCAAAGGGTGGTTAAGCAATTACA